CGCGGGGCGGATCCTGGGGGAACCGCCCGGTGCGTGGAACACTGCCGGGCCCTTTAAGCCAACACGGTAAGAACCTTTCTAGGCAGAGCCTAGGTAGGGAACCAGGGGACGATTGTTTTGTATTTTCGATTCCCCCACATTCAAAGTGGGGTTATGGTTGTCTTCCCCACTCCCCGCGCAGGAACAAGAAAAATAACATACCCTCTTCTCTTCTCCCATCGCACACTCACTCATTCAATTACTCACACACATCATCACTCACGTTCACTCACTTGCCCACTCACATACCCGCTCGCACACTCACTCACACACTCATCACTCACTCACTTACCCACTCGCTTACCCACCCACGCACTCACACACTCAGCACTCACTCGCGCACCCACGCACTCACCCACTCACTCAGCCATCGACCCGCACACTCACTCACTCATCATCATCATCATCATCATCATCATCATCATCATCATCATCATCATCATCATCATCATCATCATCATCATCATCATCATCATCATCATCATCATCATCATCATCATCATCATCATCATCATCATCATCCGTAGCCATTTTGGCTCAAGCTGTTTCTCCGGACTTTCGCAGGCGCCCACGCGCAGCGGTCAGCGGCGCGCGACTGGGAGATGAGCAATGGCGACGGGGGGCTGCCCGCAGGCGCGATGGCGGGGCGGCCCACCAGGCGTGGCAGTGCGCTGCGCAGGAGGGAGGAGGCCGAGGTAGGCGCCTCGGCGGCCCGCCGTCGGGCGCGGGCGCGGCGCCTCCTCGCCGCCACGGCGGCAGTCGGCAAGGCGGCCAGCGGCGGCCCAGGTTCCTGGCAGGACCGGGAGGCTGCTGCGCGCCCCGCCTTGCGCCGAGCCGCCGCGGGATGCCGCGTCCCAGGCGCAATGCGGCGGCGGCGGAACGCCGCGTGGCACGCGCTGCTGGTCCCTGCGGGCGGATTCGCGCGCGCGTCCGCAGCGGGCCTTTCGCGGGCCGCCGCAGGCCCCCGCCTGGGCTGGCTGCCCTCGCTCCCGGAGGCGGCCGCGCTGCCCTTCGGCGACTACGGCGAGGCACCCGACGAGCACTGCCAGGCTCCCGGTGCCATGGACTGCCCAGTGCTGGGCGGCGCTGCCGCCACTGATGGATGGCGGCGCCCCCCCATCGTGAGCTTCGCGAACCAGGTCGTCGCCGTGGCAGTGGACGGCAGCGTCCAGACGGAGCTCCTGGGGGGCGAGGATCACCTCGATCGTCTGCGGCGGGTCTCGCGCCAGCGGCTCGAGGCGGCACAGCGGCCCGCGCTCAAGCCTGCCGCTGCCCTGTTGGCCCCGCTGCCCGTGGTGCTCCAGGTACGGATCGTTGGCATGCTATCCCTGCCCGACAGGCTTGCGGTTGAGCCAGGCCTCAACTGGGGTCGCCTGGACCTTCGAGAGCAGCCCCTGTCGGCTCGCGGAGGCGCTGGAATCGGATCTGCGGGACGCGGCGCTCCTGCAGCAGCTGGAGGGCGCAAGGCAGCACAGGGACGCGAACGCCGACGTGGACCTGGGCCGCGGCTTCGGCTCCGACTACCAGCTGGACATGCTGAGGGGGGAGTTGCACCATCCCGCGTCGGACCGCACCCAGCACAGGGCCCTGGTCGCGAAGCAGGCCCAGGACATCCGCTCCCTACGAGAAGGCTGGGCTGCTGCGGAGCATGCGCTGCGGGGCCAGCTCGCCACGCTCAGGGAGCAGCTGCAGGCGTACATCGCGATGAGCTCGGATGCGCCAGCGGCCGCGGGCGAGCACAACGATGACGCATCCGATGGCTCGCTCTCGTCCCTCGTGGTGGAGGATCGAGGTGATGTTTGTGAGTGCGATGGCATCGACACAGGCTTCTTGTCTGCAGGCGAGCTTCTGGAGGCGGCGGCCGCCTCGCGGTTGGCCCTCGCAGCGGCCAGCTTCCTCCTCGGGGTCCCACTCGAGGCGCCCCAGGCCTTAGGCGCTCAGATGCCCGCCCGCTGGGGGGCCTTGGTGCCTTCACGGGATCTGCTCGTGTCGCAGGCGGGTCCAAGGATCACGAATGCCTGCGCCGAGCTGCTGCCTCTGGGGGGGGAGGGACCCCGTGGCGTAGGCTGTACCCCGTGGGGCTCGGCACACGCCAGGGTTCACTCCCTCCCGCCCCTCTTGGGCAGCGTCTGCGCTTCTTGCGCCCCAGCTTGCTCTGCTCTGTGCCGCCAGCCAGCAAGCTGAGTTGCCGTGAATGCTCGGTGCCCCGCCTTCCGCTTGCCTCGGCCGAGGCGGATGGCGGGGCCTCTAGTTTCAGGCGAAGTCTGCGTGTGTGCCTCGGCACGGGTCAGGCCTTGCGTCCGCAGCGCCAGAGGGAAAGGCCATGGCTTCGGGAGGCTGTATCGAGCGGGGAGCTCCAGACCTTCTTGGATGCGTGGATCATCATCATCATCATCATCATCATCATCATCATGATCATCATCATCATCATCATCATCATCATGCTCATCACGATGTTCAGTCGGAGTCGTCACGGAGTCAACGGCGGGTCATCGGAGTCCTGCAATTGTCGTCACTTTTGGGCCCCTGAGGCGTGAATATGAACGAAGTATTCGGCGGGAGCCTCGTCTGTGCCTTAATTGCGAGGAAGCTTCGCGCGGGAGCCCCCTCCGTATGGGGCCCGCAGCGCCCGCGCGCGTGCCTGCGCGCCCGCGCGCGCAGGCACGTATGCACGTTTGCGGGCCGGCTTCTGCGCGCGGCGGTGGGCAAATCGTTGGGGCGCCTTTGCTCAGAGGAGGAAAAGGTCACAGTGAGGGGGCTGAACCGAACGGTCATTCACTGTCCCTGGGTGCGTGGCTGAAGTGGAATTCCGCGATGCGGATTTTTGTTGTTGTTGCTGTTGTTGTTTGTTGTTGTTGTTGTTGTTGCTTGTTGTTGTTTGTTGTTGTCGTCGTCCCGCCCGCGACCCGCCCACCCCGCGACCCACCCGCGACCCACCCGCGACCCACCCGCGACCCACCCGCGACCCACCCGCGACCCACCCGCGACCCACCCGCGACCCACCCCGAGACCCACCCGGCGACCCACCCGCGACCCACCGGCGACCCACCCGCGAACCACCCGCGACCCACCCCGCGACCCACCCGCGTCCCACCCGCGACCCACCCGCGACCCACCGCAACCCACCAACGACCCACCCGCGACCCACCCCGCGACTCACCCAAAATTTTCGGCGCCTGCGGCGGGTTTCTTTTGCATTCGTTCCAGGTCGTTCCAGGTGGAGAATCTGCGACCCATCCGCGACCCAAACTGTTAGTGTACGAATCAAAATTTTCGGCGCTTGCGGCGGGCTGTTTCGGAATTCCTTCCAGGTGGAGGTGGGGAGCCCGCGACCCACCCGCGACCCAAACTGCGTTCACTCAACAAACCAAAGCTTCGTCGCCTGCAGCGGATTTCTTTTGCATCGGCGACCCACGCGCGACCCACTGGCGACCCGCCCCGGGACCCACCCGCGACCCACCCCGCGACCCACCCGCGACCAAGCCGCGACCCGCCCGCAACCCACCGCGACCCACCCGCGTCCCACCCGCGACCCGCCCCGTGACCGACCCAAAATTTTCGGCATCTGCGGCGGGCTTCTGTTGCATTCGTTCCAGGCTTCTTTTGCATTCGTGAGGGCCACGAGGTCCGCCGGCTCGACGCCCGCGTCGCCCGCGCCCGCCCCCTCACTCTTATCCGCAATTGCGGGGTGCTACTGTACCCATATCTCTACTCTTCCCTTGTTTTCCCCTTTTCTGGGCCTCCTGAGAGGCCCTCGTCGTCACCGCTGTATTCGCCTCGAAATCCTGGTCAGAACGCACCCCGGTATCGGCACCTCTTGGTTTCCCCGTTTGCGGGCGACCGCGCCTCTCGATGGGGTCGCGCGTCTGTGTCGCGCGAGCTGGCGCCCCTCCAGGAGCAGCAGCTCCACGGTGCAGCGGGCCTCCTGCTGGAGGAGTCACAGGGCGTTCTGTCTGCTCCGTGAGTCCTCGCTGCGTTGCCAACAGGTGCCAGTGTGATCGCTCCCAGGCATGCGATTCGATCTTCTCGCGAGCCGTCAGCCGGTGCCCTCGGCGCAGTGTTGCATGGCGCGGTCGACGCGCCGATGCCAGCAGGTGTTCCTCTTTGACTTGGGGCATCGGTGTCGGGCTCCCTGTCGTCGCCCTCCCAGCGGGAGGGATCCGCGTGAAATGCAACATTAGTGGGCACCAGGGCTGGACCTAAACGCTGTTTTGCTGGCCTTCGGCTGTGTTTTGTTCTTCGTTTTGGCAGGGAGGCTCAGGAAAACAGGGAGAGCTAAACAAAACACATAACGAACACAAAATGACAAACAACGTTTAGGTCCAGCCCTGGTGGGCACCTCTGTGGGCCTGGCAGCCCTGTCCCCCTGGCTGGGGTTTATAATCCTTCCGGGGCAACGACAAGAGGGACTGGCCCAGGGGGGGGGAGTATCGACCTCCACTCGCGGATGCAGCGCCGATGGGGGCCTGGGCGCGGCACCTTGCCCAGAAGCGTGCGTTGTTTTGTTGTTTTTTGTTATCGAGGGCCATCGCTGACCTATCGGTGATGTATCGCCGATTCCATGTCGGTGTTTCAACCCCTGAGCCAGCCCCCCCATTTCGCTCCACCTCATTTCCCCTTCACCCCTCCCTCTCTCTTCGTCCATCCCCCCCTCCTGCGCGGACCTTGCATTGGCGATAGTCTAGTCCTCACCTCCATCCCCCTTCGGGACCCTTGATACAAGTGAGGAGTACGGGAGCGGGAGGGGGTATAAGACGAGAAGCATCAGGAGGCAGAGGGCATGAGGATGGCAAATACGATGAGGAGGCCGTGTTGTCTGTGTCTCCTCTGTCCAGTGGCTCGTCTGTCCGCATATCCGTCCATACGCGCGCCTGTGTGTGTGTGTGTGCATGTGTGTGTGTGTGTGTGTCTCAGTTTGCGCGTTTGTGTATACGTGTGTGTGTGTGTGTGTGTGTGCCCGCAGCTTTGCCAAATGTGTTTGGGCACCGTCGTAGGCCCTGGGCGGCCGCATGCAGGCGCATCGCCTTCGCGGCGAGGAGGCGGGGCATGGCGCTGTTCAACCTCAAGGGGAACATCCCCCGGCGGCACCATCTTACCTACCGTGTGAGCCTTGCCTTTTCCATCTGTGGCGGTTTCCTGAGCATCTTCGGTCTGAGCGAGTCGTTGAGCTGCGTCACCTACACAGACGAGCAGCGCGGCTTCCCCGCGCGATGCGGTTTCCCCTCGGACGTGGAGCTGCAGAGGCACTGGTGTTGGGAGCCGAGCCACTTCTCGAAGTTTTGGGTGTGGTGTTGGGCGCTGGCACTCCTCATAGACGTGGTGCTCGAGGCCACAGGCCAGTTCACACTGTTCACTTCGCAGCGGCCGGCCAACTTCGTGCACCCCTGCATCTCGGCGCCCGTTATTATGGTGGCAACACTGGTGTGGGGGGAGGAGATGGCCAACATGATGGAGTGGCGGAGCCGCTCTCGGCACGTGGACAACCGTCAACGTGGCACCGCGGGCCTTTGGGGCTTGTCGAAGATTTGCACATTGGCGTCCGCGTTCGAGCTCACGCGGACGATTGCGTGCGATTACACGCCGCGGGGGGTAGTTCTCCGGTGCTCGCTGAAAAGCGGTGGCGTGCGGGAGTTGCGGGTGAGTCCAGAGAGCGAAATCTTCGGCTTGATGGTGCCCACCTCTGCGCCGATCCACATGGTCGCGGCCATCTTGGCATGGTGCCTCCTCGTGGCAGCCTGCGCCCTGAAGCTCTGCACAAAGCTGGACTGGGTGAGCGAGGACGAGGTGTCCAAGGACATCGCAGAGGAGGCCAAGAGGCTGTTGCGGGCGACCACCACCCTGGTCGCAGATGTCGAGGCCGGGAAAACCGTCGTGCCCGTGGCCGCAGACACGGGGTTCGCCGACGGGGATCTGATCACGATAGGCTGCCGGGGCCAGGTCGAGCGGGACAGGCGGGTCGTTGGGTTCCGAGCCGACTCCCCCGGGATCTTCATCCTGGATTGCGCGGTGCAGCACGCGTACGCCGCGGGCTCACGAGTGTCCGTCCTGGTAAGGCTTCGGGTGGCGCACAGACGGCCTCCCCAGACAGTCCCAGCTAGCCCCAGCGGGCCCCCCGAGTAGTCCCAACAGGACCCCCGAGTAGCCTGGCGGCGGGGGGATCTCAGCACCCCAACCCTGGGGCGCGGAGCGCCCCAGGAGCGCCGCCGGAGGAGGGGCGCCGCCAGAGGAGGCGCCAGGGTGCTGTACTCGGGAGGCCTGTTGAAGCCAGCTGGGGCTCCTCGGGGGGCCTGCTGAGGCCAGCCGGGACTGCCCGGGGGGCCCGTCTGCGCGCCACTCGCGAAGCCTCACCAGCCCGTCCGGCCGCTGCCTGCCGGGGGCCGCCTGCTCCACGGCGAGCCGCGCGAGGGCAGCCTGCGCGACAGGGCCGTGGTCGCAGTCCTCCGCTGCCTGCCCCCCGCCGTGGCCGCGGCGGGCGGGGCCGTCGGCAGCGGCGGGGCGTCGACCACTCTGGCCGCGGCCGCGCCGCGCGGCGCGACCGCCCTGACGGTCGCGTCGCAGGCCGGCTTCAGTGCGGCGGACGTGCTGGAGATATCCGACGGGAGCTCCGTGGAGTCGAGGGTTCTGAGCAGATCGGGGGGCAAAAGCGGCACGAGCACGCGGCCCGGAGATCTGGCACACCTTGTCGCGCCGTCGATCCTCTCTGGCCCAGACGCGCTTTGGCGCGAGGTGCTGTCCACGTCCCGGCCCCCAGGCGCCAGCGTCCCGCCACCCACCCGCAAGGCAGAGCAGTTCCTCGGGGCCGCCCCCGCGACACGCTGAGCACCAGCTCCTGGCCGTAAACTCTCGGAGGGCTGCTTTGCAGCTCTCGAATCGTCGCTGGGCCCCCCCCCCCCGGGGGCGCCTCTCTGGCGCCGTCCCTGGGGAGCGACCCGCCGGCCGGTCTGGGGCGGCTTGGCGCTGATTCGTGACCTCCGCGCGGAGCTTCGAGCTTCGCAGGGTTCTGCCTCTTTCGCTCCTCGAACAGAGTGAAGAAGAAACAGCGCCGTTAGCAGAAGCTTTTGGCGCTCCGCGCGGATTTCTTGGATCCGCGCTGTGGCCTTCCCAGCGGCGCATCTGGCGCCGCCCCTGGCGCGCTCCGCGCGCTAGGCAGGGGGGTCCAGCGCACGTCCAAGAAATCCGCGCGGAGCGCCAAAAGTGTATGCGTATGACGTTGTTCTTCTCCTAACAGAGTCGACTTCGCAAGCATCAAGATCGACGCCCCAACCGTCCGGCACCACCAGAGGGGCACCCGGGTGGTCAAGCAGGTCGAGGGGAGCGCGGCGGAGGTCGGCTACGAGGTCTCGCGGCGGGAGTCGTCCCCGGGCAGCGCGCTGGTGTTCCGTAAGCTGCCCGTGGTTAAGCGCCTGATGGTCCAACCCGACTTCAAGCTGAGGTTCTGGGCTCTCATCGTGCACGGGCTGGCCGCGTGGCAGGGCTACGAGGCCTACATCCGAGGGAGGAACAGCGGCAGAAACCTGAACTTCAGGAGTTCCGCGGGGATCTCTCGAACCGGCGCGGGGCCCCCCTGCCGGCGCTTTTGGCGCCGCCCCTGGCACTCTCCGCGCGCCAGGGAGGGTGGTGCAGCGCCGATCCGAGAACTCCGCGCGGAGTGCCGACGGGTTGTGTTCACGCCGTTCTTTCTCTTCCTCTCTGCATGTCCGACTGGCTCTGCGTGTCCCAGATCACGATCCTTCGGTCGCAAATCATGGGAGTCGTGTGTGCCCTCGTAATTCTGTCACTCGCGTCGATGAGCGTCGATCGGCGTCTGGGAGTCGATGAGGTGGCGCCGATTTAGCGTCGATTTAGCGTCGGCTAGCGTCGATTTAGCGTCGACTGGCGTCGATTCGCAAGAGCCGACAAGATGGTATGGGAGGCTCCTATGAGTTGCCACCGAACCATCTGGCAGACGAGCAGCCGCGACCCGGAGGAGGCGCCGGCGCAGCTCCGCCTGCTGGGAGCGTGCGGGAGGCCGAGCGGCGTGGGGTTGATGGAGGCGTGCACCGTATGGCTGCTCGGGATCCTGATCGTCATCCAGCTCCTCAGGAAGGCACGAAAAGCGGCGCAGGCATACAGTAAGGTTCCCCGTTCGAAAAATAAAGAACGCCATAAAGATAAACTTTTGACGCTGCGCGCGGATTTCTTGGATCCGCGCTGTGGCCCTCCAGCGGCGCCTCCGGCGCCGCCCTTGGCGCGCTCCGCGCGCCAGGGAGGGGGGTCCAGCGCAGATCCAAGACATCCGCGCGGAGCGCCAACTAATTATGTTTATGATGTTTTTTCTTTCCTCATGATATCATGAGGTTCAAACCTACTGTAGCGTTGAGCACCAAAAGTTATTTCGCGCACCAAGAAAATAACCCGAAACTGGAGGGTTTTCACCTGCCGGGCCTTGGGAGGCGATACTGGTACGACACTGTTTTGATACTGTTCGGGGTGCTCGATTTTTTTGTTCTGGGATGTGGTCCTCAAGGTCAATGGGAGCAACATAATCCGAGTACAGTCCACACTGATTGTAATGATGAACGACTTTCCAGAGTTTCCCTTATTATCGATCCCTATCTTCCTGACTATCGATCCCACTATTGGTTCCAATATGGATATCACAATCGTTCTCAAGATCCATACCACGAGTTCTCGAACCATCCACTGGTTGTGGTCTTTCTCTGGTGTAATAGTAAGGATGAGCGACTTTCCAAGGTCTCCCTTGCAGCCCTCCCCTTCGGCCCTCGGTCACTCTCGTCGGCCGCGCCCCCCTCTCGTCAAGTGTCAGCCACGGCCCTCCAAGGCCCTCGCAACCTTACCGTGCCCTCCTTACCTAGTGGTCGTTGAAAGCAGGTATTTCTGGGATTCCCAGGTTCTAATCTACGTTAGCCGCCTTCCTACTTCAAGAGTAGAGTTGTCATCCCGCTTCCCTCCTCTTCAGGGGGCGCGCGGAGTCCAAATCTTCTTCCAACGCCTTCCTACTTCACGTTTCTGCCTACTTCTTCCGACCGATGGGTACTATCAGTTTTGATCGTGATATTTCGCATTGCCCACTCGCGGCGATTTCTCGCTCCCAACCCTCGACTTTCCACGGAGAGTCAAGCCGCTCAGAGAAGGAGGGGAATTTGGGGCATGCACGCCCAGGAAACTATCGAGACGCACCCTTATCGAGGATGGACGCTCACCTATCGGATGTCCCCAAGTTGGGCTCCAATTTTTTACTCGTTCGAACCCCAGGAAGTCGGGAATGGGGGTCGACATATCCCTTCTTGCGCGCGTCGGCAGTGCAACCCCTCTGGCGCCGCCCGAGAGCCGCGATGTCCGCGCGCCAGGGAAGGCGTGCAAGGGAGCGTGGCCAGCGCTTTCTTTTTTTGTTCGGCGGCTCCGGGTTGAGCCCAAGAAGCTTCGGTCGAGAACTTCTGGAAAACGTGTCGCTCCGCCAGGTCTCGGAAGAGGAACAGCAAAGTATACTGATACCGCCGCCCGTCCCTCTCCTTGGACCTCCCGGGAGGCCCTCGTCGCCGCCGCTGGAGTCGCCTCGAGACCCCGGACAGAGCACATACCCTGGGAGAGGTCCGAGGAGCAGCGGTAGGGCTACCCCTCTCGGCTTCCCCGACGGCGTGTCGCTCCGCCGTTATTTGCGCCCTGCCCTGGTCCAGCCTCCGGCAGCCGCAGCTTGCACTCCCACCCGCCGGCCCTGCCCGCCGTGGTGAGGCCTGAGGCCCCGCCGCTTTAGGTATTTCGTCTTTGCGCGGCCCGCTCTGACTCGACTCGCCGTGTGCGCTTTCGCTTGCGGCTGCTGACTAAAAAGTCGCTCCGCCGTCGTGGCCCACCGCGCTGCGGCGCGGCACGCTGTATCCACTCCTGGGCCCCCGGGCGTGGAAGTCCCTCGAGCCCTCCCGGGCCTCCCGCCTTCGC